GCAGGCGTGTGAATCACTGGAAAAGTTTAGCAGTTTTGCTGTCATTGTGAACGGCAGAAACCGCCTGCGGTGTTCTGCCAGGACTCCGCGAAGTTCGAAGGTCCAGAATTCCCTTCATACTGCGTTGGATGGACCTACAAGAATGCTCTTCGAAATTCCGCGTGGACTATTCCAGACTACGGGAAGCTCAAAATCGTCGAGCAATACGCTCTGGCGTCGGCTGCTTATATCTATGACTCCAAGCTTCCGTTCCTACGACCACAAGACAATTTGGTTGAGTATTTGAAGCAGTGCGCCCCGATTGCATACGAAGATACGGCCGTACCGTGTCCGCGTATGGTGGATTGAGAGTCTCACCAGATCGCGCCGCGTCATATGAAGCTTGGGGCAAAGCCAAACAACTCTAGTGGGACAGGGCCTATGACAAGGACAACAACCTGTGCTTCATTGGCTACTACGACGCTGGCAATTCTGCCTGCGCTGGCACCTTTTTCTGTTGAAGACCGAAGAGAACTCTTCTACAACGTGACAAACCCACAAGAGGAGTTATTACGAGACGTAGTCGAGCTCGCATTGGAAATGCTTACGCTTGCTATGAGGCGTCCAGAGAAGTTCACCAACTGAGCCACCTTTCAGGACATGAACGCGAGGTATTGTGCCTCTGAGCGCATCGAGCTGATTGCCGCGGATACTGCGAGAAAGAGATCTCCTCCTCGAAAGCACGCAGAGGTTGAAAGGTATACATCAGCGAGATGATGGCAAGCTTCCGTACTACTCGATTTGAAGTCATTCCAACTCCCCGGACTCTACATCCTGATTCACGGGTAGACGAGCGCATGGAGGAGGATGATGATGATGATGTCCTGGTCGATTCCTCTCAAGGTGTAGGGGCAACTCCTGTAATCCCCGAGGAACCCATCGATGAAGGAGGACTTCCGCAGGAGGAACTCCAAGAACTTTCCCATCCTGGTCAAGAATTGCACAACGCAGCAAAGGCGAAGGCAACGGAAGCTCTCCACATGTTATCTACAGGAAGCGTCGAGATTGGTGAACGCACTGGTACAGACATTCCTGCCGAAACTGCAACAACGACTCTCCTGCATTGCAGCAGGGTTTGGCTTGCTTCAAGATCATGGAAGGAGCGGTCGAATGCTATCCCAAGCAGCTGATCCTTGAATCATCTCAAACTCACGGTCCACATCAACAACGACAGGCACAAGGGTCCGGATCCATGGACGTGGATGAAGTCAACAGTTCAACTTCTTCGACAAGGTGGCCCAAAGCCAAGGCACGACCAAGACGTGGTGGTGAAGCTGTCGGTGGCGGTATAAACATCATCCGGTATGACACCGCTCACGATTGTCGCAACATGGCGGAGAATCACCGTGGGAAGTCTCATGTTTGTGGTGGGGAAATCAAGGAACTTGGGTTGGCAAGTCACGATGAAGTGGTGGAGACGATTACACGCATGACATCCACCCGAGACACGAGCCTCCCACAGCGAGGAGATGCTCCAAAGTTCCCGCTTGCGCCACACAGTTTCAATGGCTACTCGAACCCAAGCTACAAAAACATGGGCGACAACGTGAAATGCGGGCTAGTGGAGTCCCTTCCAACAAAGGGTGCATCGTTTGCGCACGAAGACTGGGGCATTGTCCAAGCCGCATAAGCTCCACGACACATCAGCTTCCATCGCAAGAAGTGTGACGAAGGAGGATGGATGAGGATCGATGACCTCTTGACGATGGACATGCTGTGGGCGCACGAATCCCGAAGGATCGACAGCCCTCTTGACCATCGCGACCGTCAAAGGTGTACCAGGCAGATGAATGAATTGGTTGAAGGAAATCATCTCAACGCCACTAATCTAAGCCCAACAATGCGAAGATCAGGCTTCAGTTTATGGGCAGCAGGATTATGGACCCACCGAATGGTGATGAAGCAGTGGCGGACGCCATGCCCTTTTCCAACGGCATCGTTACACGCGCTGTTCAGACCTAGGAGGCAACGACGTCACAAGGGACTCATCGGATTACGCAAGAGGACCTTGAGCCCATGCGAGTCGATGCGGACAAGTTCGCGATACATTTTTGGATGTCGCTGGTCGATACCCTAAGAGGATCCTTCCACAGTACAGCTTGTCACAATTTGCAATCCATCGTCGAGAATGGCATCTTGCCTGGAAGGGAAGTCGCGGACAGTTTTTCAGGGAGACTGCGCAGCCATTTTGGCGTCTTTGCCCCTTGAAGCAGGTTCACGAAAAACAGGGTGCCAGGGACTAGGACCAGGCCTTTGGCGGTTCTTTACGTCCCAATTAACCCCTGATCTTATTCACCTCGGAGGTAAATTGACCGAAAGTGACATGGTGATCGTCAGTCGTCCCATTCCGTTCAAGGTCAATTGAGTCTGGTTTTGCATACCAGACCTCAACGACATGTAGTTGTCCTCGGAAGCTCATGAGTGTCCTGTGTGAACTACCAAGCGGACCGCACGATGCCGCGAAAGAAAATTACCTGAGGCTCCTTGCGCAACATGATGACTACCATCGTGAGGATGCTCGCAGGCAGGCACTCGTCAGGGAAGCTATCCAATTCGCCATCAAGAACATGCGACCGGAAGAAGAGGCTCGAGACGCAAGAGACACATCGGTCAGGACCGTTCCTGGAGATGGTACCAGCTTGTCTCGCCCGATGACAAAGATGTACCCCCGTGTTCAGGTCATGTGGCAAATTCCGGAGAACAGCTCCACAACGGGAATCTCCTTTGGAGGTCCCACGCGAAGATATTGCCAATGCGATGGAGGCAGCTATTGCTGCGACATCCACCAACGCCAATGTTCAAGAGGGCGAAGAGGACGGATGTGGTCATGACTATGGCCGAACCGCAAATGGAGGTCGAAGTTGACACGGCCGACATGGCTGTTGAAGCTGAAGCCGACGAAGAACAACAAGAAGATTATGACGAAGATGAAGACCAAGAGATTGCAGAGCGACGCCTGGTGATTGTGCAAGAACATTTGCATCTCACTGATCCGGTTCTTACTCAGGCAAGGATATCCATGCAGGTTCCCTACTACCCGAGTGCTCCGGCAGCACACTGCATCGATGCAAGATTTGGTTCTTTTGCACACATGGCCTATGTCGTGGTGCAACGCATGCACAAATCATGGATCGGTACTATGAGTGGACCAACCTCAAGTATGAGCCTACGCTCGCCAGCTTCCAGAAGGGAAATCGATATGATGTTCTTGGACATTGGCCTACTCTTTGTGAAGTCGACCCAGTTACACAAGTTTCTCGGGACGTCACCGACGGGGAGATTCTGGCCTACAAACGGGGCCTGAACGATCCTTCAGATCCTGAGGGAATATACTTGTTCAGGAAATTCCGAACCAATCAACTGCTCTCCAAGCCCACGCGAGGTGCTCATCAAATGGGCATGCCAAGGGAGGTGTTCAACCCGAAGACCTAGAGGTTCGGCACCAACCGTTCGAGAACTGCACGCGAACTGCTACGACATCTTGCAAACGCTCGTTGCGAAGGTCGTGGGCCACGGGCAAGTCAATGTTCGCAACGCTGAGGCAACCACCTACGGGATCTCACGACTTCTTGTACATTGACCCAGTGGCAGTCATGATGATCACCGGTCTGTCGTTTACAACGACTACGACCATCGAGTTGCTCGTCAACTACGACATCATGCTTCGAGCAAGGTAGACGGCGAAGTTGACCAACTCGCGCCTGGATTCACAACGTAGTCAGCATCCTACAGCCCTCACTCACCTCCAATCTTCAGACTAGTTGGACCCCGGACAACTTGGCGTTCGAGATCGACCTGTGGAGGAAAGAGTCGGAAAGAGCGACTGCGAGACCGGCAGAACCCAAAGGGCGACCTCCGAACCGAGGCAATGCCAACGAAGGGCATGACAAAGGCGAAGGGAAAGGGAAGCAGCATGATCCTCCCGACCGCGACCGTGAACGTTTTCGAGAATACTATCGTCGTTGGGAAGGTGGCAACACGAGGTGACCCTTTTCCCGAGTGCCTATGTCATGTATCGCCCAGTCGAGCATGTAACACCGGCATCTTCTATGTGATCTTCATTCATCACATTGCCGTTTTCTTCGGTGACAGCCTGAATTGCAAAGTTCGGGAGATCGTCACTGACGTAGCGAAGTGTCACAACATATCTAATTGGGAGTTCAAAGCTCGTACAAGTATCCACAACACATTCAACAAAATTGCGGCGGATAAGACAGTGGTTTCTTCTGGTCGAATCGCTCTGTTCCTATGTGAGCAAGGCCGAAGGCCTAACTCATGGGCGGTGCGAGGTCCGAGGTCCTCGTACAATTCGTGGGTGTCAAAGGTATGAGAGTGACCATGTTTCAAGGGTATCACAGGCCTGCTTGACAGACTGTGCTCTACCAACAACTCATTTACACTTCTGCCTTGCAGTGTACAAAGTATGTCTACTTCAGAGTGCTCCGCCTCACTCGCAACTCTGGCTCAAGAAACTGCTATAAGCCAACTGTCGGC